TGCTGCCGTCGCGTTTCTGGATATATAAGAAGCCAGGATCGGAGTTCGACATTCAGTCTCAAATTGTCTTAGCGAGTGTACTTGAAGTCTACAAAGCAAGTTCGAAGATGCCACCGAAGGCTAGTGGAAAAGCTGTGAAGAAAGCTGGTAAAGCTCAGAAAAATATCAGTAAGTCTGATAAGAAGAAGAAGAGGAGGAGGAAGGAAAGCTATGCCATCTACATCTATAAAGTGTTGAAGCAGGTCCATCCTGATACTGGTATTTCCAGTAAAGCCATGAGCATCATGAACAGCTTTGTTAATGATGTTTTTGAGCGTATCGCTGCTGAAGCTTCACGCTTGGCACATTACAACAAGAGATCTACCATCACGTCTCGGGAAATCCAAACTGCTGTCAGGCTTTTGTTGCCTGGTGAATTGGCTAAGCACGCCGTTTCTGAAGGCACTAAAGCTGTCACTAAGTATACCAGCTCCAAGTAAACGCTACAGCACCCTAAAACATAATCATCGGCCCTTTTCAGGGCCAACAATTTTATAATAACGTTAAACAATTTTGTTCATAGCTGTATTATTTTGATATACCTTCCATAATAGAGTTTCGAGTCATTGTGTATACTGCAATACAACATAGAATATAGTAGCTAGCATTAATACATTTTATTTCTAAATATATTTGTTATCCAATAATTTAGTAAGGACTATTTCACGATTGTATAGTATTTAACTTAGAATTTGTCAAATGCAAGATTGCATTCGTATTCCAGCTACACATAGCTTTAATAATGTAATGAAAACTGGGTAGAAAATATGCAGGTTATTTTTCTAATTGTTTTCCGCGGTGTTTTGCGATTGTTTGACTTGCGCAGTTCATATCTGTGAAACATTCAATGTGGCGATCAATGATGTAAATTTACTAAATATTTTACTCCCGAATACTTTTGTTTTTAAGAAAAATTAGAAAATTCCGGACAATAGTTATAAGAATATAAGAGAGTTATCAGAAATATAAAAGTACTAAATTGGCTATAATAAAAATAAATTCAATGGCAGTGTTACTAGTACAATCAGTATACTATAATCCCGAATTTTAGGTTAGAATTCTATTTTCTTACTCCCAACTATTATATGTTACTTTGATATGCTAAAAATTATAACATACATGCATATGCATGCATTTTATTTACATCCGTTAACGGGAGCATTACCTATGCTGTACGAAGTTTACAGCAAAAACTTTTTGAAATAATCATACGTAAGAATTATTTTAATGAAGAGGAAAGAGAAACGTTGATTAATTCGTTATTTAGAACAATGTTATAAATTATTAGAAAAGACTATCTTTTCTGTGCTTTAATCGCAATAGTTATCTTCGGAAGCGAAAGACCGACCATACCGAACGTGTTAAAAATATGAAAATCACATGATATTCGGAATTATTAATTTTATTACAGTTTCCTACGCAGGAAATTGTCATATTCGTAGATAATGCTAGTTATTTATAAAAGAGACACGTGTAACAAATTTCTTAGTTAATGGATGACATTTATTTACTATTAATACTTATTTTGAAAACAACATTGATGAACCATTATAGAAATGGCTTCCGTATAGATGGAGTCACAGACGTTTGGCAATACGAAATTTGATTGGTTCATCTAAGAAAAGACTATTTCTGAGGGAAGAATATAGCAATGAAATATTTTTAAATAATATATATTGCTTAAGAAATTATACGATAAATATATATTATTTAACCTATATTACTAGTACTCTTGCAGTTACGCGTTATTTGTTTTTCAAAATTTTGGCAACCAAAGTAGAAATTTCTTACACCAGATGTCATAACATACAACCTTTCGCGTGCCCTCCATACTTAAATTTTTTGATGAACGGGCAAACTGATGTACAGAAAGATAATGCATAAATAATAAGAAATAATAACACTTAAATATTCAACACTGTTATTACTGTTATTTAACGCATGAATAAATACTCAAGTTAGGGTTGTATTATCTTTTCTCAAACGATAGAATGCAGAAAATTCTTCATGAAATGCAATAAACGAATCAATGATGACGTGTCTTGTCGTTTATATGTCTCCCTCAAGTTCTGACTCCGATCATAAACTTTCTTATCATGTTTTATAAATAAAATACTTTTGAAAACACCTTTATTGTTGTTATGGGTTGTTTGTTAACGCAATAACATTCGTTAATGTTCAAAGTAAAACATATTATGATAAATTGTAGCTGACATACCATATTTTTCTCAGTAATATATTAGCAGTTGAAAGCATAGAACAATGGATACCATATGAATATCACGTAGTTACTATTTGCTTTTTTAACGCGATGTTAATTGTCAAAAAATCGTTAAGTTTATGCAAAAGAACTTCAAGATTTTTGTATTCTGTGTAATGTACTATGTATAGTACCCTGTGATAAAGCAAGAGACAAGACTTGCTAAGTATGTTTAAAATACATATATATATATATATATATATATATATATGTATGCATAGAGTATACTTGAATAAATATTAATCGAACTATTACATAAGTAGAAACATTTTTATAGCAGATATATTATATAGAATATACAACATGAAACAATAATACTTATGCTTTTCTATAGGAAAAAAATGTTATTCCATGTAGAACCGTTATGTTTTCGTATAAAATTGTGACTAAATTTCTCAGATGAAACTTAATTTGTAGTAAAATGAATTATAAATGCAAAGTAAACGATTTCATGAAAATATTTTGATATTAATATTTGCAACTCACATATTGAATGGTAGATTCCTTATACACGCTATCACGATCCTCATCAAGGAAAGAATACAAAATAAAACAGGTTAAATAAAGGCAAATGTCGTGAATCCTCATTTGAGGATACTAAAAGTATGAAAGATACAATAAAAATTCATTCTAGGCATATAAACCGAATATTTCACACATCCATGGGAATTGATATTAATCCAACGATAGAACATTCGCGGTTCACGTTGTACATCACTAAGCGATCGAATATCAAGCAAGTTTTTTAACGATCCATTACAGGTAGGATAAAAATAATTGAATATAAATTAGCAGCAGTCCTTTTTTTATGATTTTCTATATAAGTATTATGCCAATTTTCATGTAAATGTTTAGATTTTTAACTTTTTCTATACGATGTCCTATCGCACCGAAAAGACGGACTTCGTCGAACGGCGCAATATTTCAGTTGAACAAGTAAATACAGCCGAAAATTAATAAACAAATAAAACTACAAACACGTAGCTATATATTCGCGCAACTATTGTTCATTAACATGCATATAATATGGAGAAACAAAGGTTGAAAGTGAAGGTATATTTACCGCTTCTTCGCTGTCACGGAATCGCGGCATCCGACATATTGGGTGAGACTCTCTCCATGGTCCGCGCTTAAGAAAGAACACGCGCTGCCATGAAAGCTAACTATCATACCAAGAGCAGCATTGTTGGTTTAGATACCTTCAGGCACTTTGTATAACAATTTGGTTTGTGTTAAAGTATTTCCACAAAAATGGAAGACAAAGCGAACTCTAACAGTACCGCAGTTGAGACTGCCGAGAATCCATCTACGCCAGCGAAGAAGTCGTCGAAAAGTAAGTCGAAATCGCAACGTGAAAAGGCGTCTCATCCGCCAACTTCGGAAATGGTCAACGCTGCCATTAAAGAGTTGAAGGATCGTAAAGGATCGTCTCTCCAAGCTATCAAAAAATACATTGCCTCCACTTACAAAGTCGACGGAGAGAAATTTGCTCCGTTCATTAAGAGGTACTTGAAATCTGCTGTGACATCTGGAACTGTCGTCCAAACAAAAGGCAAAGGAGCGTCTGGATCGTTCAAGTTGTCGACTGGAAAAAGTGAAACTTCTAAGACCAAGAAGGTTCCTCATCCAGCCAAGAAGGCCGCACCAAAAAAGGTACAATCTGTCGAGAAGAAGACCGTCTCGAAGAAAACTGCTCCTGCTAAGAAGCCGGCATCGCCCAAAAAAGCTGCAGTTGAAAAGAAACCGGCACCAGCGAAGAAGAGTGCATCCAAGGTAGCCGTTGCAAAACCAAAAGCTGCTAGCGAAGCCAAGAGCATGTCGAAAGCTAAGAAGACCGCCAAAGCACCAGCGGCCAAGACTAAAACACCTAAACCTAAGAAAGCAGCTGCACCAAAAGCAGTTAAATCCCCAGCAAAAAAATAATTATTTTCAAACTACGTTGCCCTTCAAATCCAAATGGCCCTTTTCAGGGCCACTAAATATTTTTTACAAGGAACAATCACCGTTCTCTATCCATTAGAAACAAAATACCCATAAATTCAAATCGAGGTTTTTATCACAGTTAAAAACAATTTTATTTTGTTTATTGGTTTAAATACGAGAAAGAAGTACATAACGGTATATGTTCATTGATATATATTGATTCTTGAAAACATTGAAATTTCGTATACTTAGTATTTCATGAACTTCTATAGACACAACTTATAGACGTAACCATAAGTTATGTTTAGACCTTTGTCCAGAAGTACAAAAAAGGCAGTGAGTTTTAAACCATTATGTTTCCAACCATGCTGTATGATTGGTCAAGGTACTAGGGAATCTAACAGGGAAGCGCTGCTGCATAACCTCTCTACCCTACGCTATCGACCAATTCCCGCCAAAACAGCAGACGTGGACACACCATGTGCATATTAAGGTAGAAGCCAGCAGGTTCTTTCATCAAAAATAACACGGAACTAATCACTAGATTATATTACCCTAGGACGTTAAGCCTTTGTCCATGGACAATGACATTTATAACAATCGAACATTTTAAAAATTTTCTAATCACGATCATTTAATGTTAGATACTTATAAGACACAGAAAAGTTCTTTTTATATATAAATGATTCACGCTATTTATTACACTATCTAATCCTTAAACATGATTCGGATAAGACTGATGTCTGTATTTTTTTCAGACAAATACAATCAACATGGTGAACGAGTGAAATGTAACTGCACTCTGAAGCGATGCATTATCTTATCTAGATTATGCTACAAAGAATAGTAAAAGTGGACGTTTTAGATTTATACAAATATTTCATTTGTATAATTTTAGTCTTTTTTCTGCATTTCAATGAGGCAAATATAAACGTATTTTCCAAAAATAAAGATTTATCAGTGACGTATGTAGATTCTGTCTCTATTTTTTAGTTTTTAATATACATTCGATAATAAAGTTGTAGAAGATGAAAGCTAATTCATAACTTTATAACCTATAATTGCATGTTAGACATGAATAATATACTGACCATTCTTTTTATATTTATTGATTATAAAAAATCTGAATGCATTTTGGATGATATGAACAGGGAATGCTTGCCATATCGTCAAACCTAGAAGCTCTTACACGATTTGTAAGCAAAAGAGACTTCTTCCGACTATATAATGAGTATAGCATAAAACACGTATTGCATTTACAACTTAACATTCGAGTCGTTCGTAAATGAATCACATACTGAATATAGAGTATTTAGGTTCGATTATTTACGTTGTATATTAATTATTATCACAAAACTTTTCTTTAATTATGAAATGGAAATCGCATTTTGTGAGGTTATTTGAATACCATGGACTTTTCTTATAATTTATAATATACATGTTTTTGCTACCGTCACTGGTTTCATAAGTAATGCAGAATACGGTGCTACCTTCTCTCAATCTCCTTCTCTTCCTCAATTCTTCTCTTGGTTTATTTAGTCTAATGCAGTGATAATCTCAAGTCAAGACCTTATCGCGAACATTCTTTAAGAATAGCCTTATCTTTTGTATTTTTTTATAAATATTTTTTGATTATAATCTAACTTTCTTGTGATGTTAAGTAGTGGAGCTAATGTTTAGGAATTGGAATGGGCATTTACATCGTCTTCGATAATGTACTAAAATTGAAGGTCTATAAGTAAAAAAAAGCATTCTACAGATATATTTTGGAATTGAACTTAGGGATTTAATTCTTCGATACTTTCCTTATATGTTCATTTCACAGTTTGATGCCGTTTAGGTTATATAATTGAAGTTTGGTTAGCCTGCCTATACATTAAATTTCTTTCTACTATCGTATCCCTTACCAATCCCAAACTGTATCAAATATGATGACTCATACTTAATCCTGGCCTATATCATGAAAACCAGTCCTTATTTCTGAGAACAAGTACTTACATATTGCTATCTGTTCAAAACTATCTAGTTTAAAAACGGTTTCAAATGGCTAGCTAAATATCGAAGCAGACTCATCGAAAAACATCTAGGAACATCAATACAAATAGTCTTTTTACAGATTACAAAACATTTTCAAACGTAAGTACTTCGTAACTGTTCATAATACAAATTGAAATCGATATAATATATTAAGTATTTCTGAGCCTAACATCATAATCTCAGACAAAAAACAAGCCATGGAAGTGATGCAAAGCAAAACTCAGTGTTTTTATTCATTTTATTTCATCTGAATTCGTAAAAATTTCAAGAATCTATAAAAAGGACAAAAGGTTATGTTAGATAGAGAAGGTATAGACAAACATCGACGGAGGGACACGTTACCTAACGCAAAAGGGGGCAGCTGCCCGACAGATGTTCCCCACTCTGTCGTGGGAAAAAGTAGCATGTCCGCCTAAAACATTTAGTAGAAAATTTCATTAAATAATAAATATTCATAAGTCCGGAATCCTAATTTTAGAAAAAGCAGAATTAAACACCCGAATTATATAAATCTTAAGCCACGTGTATTATATTTTATACCGTTAGTTTTAAGAATAACGGGTCAAAGTATCGGGAATTGTATGTGGACCTTTTTCATGATGCAATAAAATAATGATTATCTTAAGATCGCAGTCGAAAACCTGAAGCTCCTATATTGAAGAGAATTTTGGCCCTAAAAAGGGCCGATTGTTTATAGAAGAAAAATAGGCTGCTTAGGCTCTCTCTCCACGAATACGGCGGGCCAACTGAATGTCTTTTGGCATAATGGTAACACGTTTAGCATGGATTGCGCACAGGTTGGTATCTTCGAAAAGACCAACGAGGTAAGCTTCGCTAGCTTCTTGCAAAGCCATGACGGCGGAGCTCTGGAATCTCAAATCGGTCTTGAAATCTTGAGCGATCTCACGAACCAGACGTTGGAATGGTAACTTCCTGATCAGCAGTTCGGTGCTCTTTTGGTATCTTCGGATTTCACGAAGAGCGACAGTTCCAGGCCTGTAGCGATGAGGCTTCTTCACTCCACCGGTAGCCGGGGCACTCTTACGAGCAGCCTTGGTGGCCAATTGCTTACGTGGAGCCTTTCCACCAGTCGATTTACGAGCAGTCTGCTTGGTACGAGCCATTCTTTCAAACAGTCGGAAAATACAGCGATACGTTCACCGTTATGACAAAATGTAGAATACGCTCCGCGCTTGGAAGTTCCCACTTTTATGTGATGCAACTACCGGCTGCCGGCTTTTGATTGGTCGAGCGTCGCACTGGAAGGGGAACTACGCGACCGTCAACACAACAAAGCTTCTATTCTATTTCTGCCTGTTTTATTTCTTTTATATTCAGGCAAATGTAGTTGTGGCTGTGATAGATTTGAAATTTTAGCAACAAATGAGTCCAAGTTTGAAAATATTTAAGAATAGATAATACCATTAAGGGTCGATACAAGATTGGTACAAATACCTAGTACAAAAGGAAATCGTGTGACTTAATCAAAATAGTTATATCCAAAAAACCATACCTTCAAGAAGCCCCTCTCCCACAACAGAGCGGAAATGCCATAACCAAGTAAGATCTTACAGACAACGTAACAGACAAGATGGATAGCCACATAGAAAATATTCAAGAAGCGTTCTACGTCCTTAAGTAATAAGAGTCAATAAGAACTAATATCATTTTAACCTCAATGCCTAAACTTATGATTATGAAGTTAGAGTAACCTTCCAATCCATTCCAGCTATTCAACAATTGTTTTAATATGCAAAATGACGTTTAGTTCAAAGATACAAAATCCACAATCAACGATCACAGACGGAAGTCACAGTCTATTCACTTTTTATTTATTATTTCAAGCCTGAATATTTCTTCTTTTACACGGTACATTTCTGCGATTCACGATAAAGCAATGTTTTAAGTTTCGTTAAAAATTAAATCTAATTTCGAGACAAAAATATTACCAGGGTTAGGATAGAAGTAAAGGATGATTTTTTTAGGAAAGAGTAACCATTAAATTCAGTGAAAACCGGATTTTGCATACAAAGAACGTGGAGCAGATGTTCGACGCAGATGTTCTGTTCTCTGTAGGGGACCGAAGTACAATGTTTACTCCAAATTCTAATTACAATATAATATTGCAGCAAAATCATAAATTCTAAATATTTCAGTGTACTTTAAATTATATAAAATCGACGTCATAAAAAAGAAAAATGAATCGTAAAACATAATTGATCTGTACTACCTGAATTTAGATCTTTAAACAGAAATTTTAAATTACTTATTACTATATTATTACATTCTATATCATCCATCCGATTTACATATTTATTACGTCAATACGCACTATTGATCTCTTTTTTTAAGAAATTTAATCACAATTCTAATATGATAAATGAGAGAGATAGGGGGAGATATCTATTAGGAGTTTGGAAACATTCATATAAAATTTTCTACTTTCACGACAATAATTTTGAATAAAACATGATAAAGATTTAGATTGTATTTTATTTTTCTTTTTTTTTTTTATTTGGTATACTATTTACAATCAATTCTCGTTGAGAACGATGGTATTTTATGGCAGCAATAGAATAATAATTTTACGAGTCGAAAACTTGAAAAGAATTTTGGCCTTAAAAAAGGCTGATTGTTTATGGAAAAGAATCAGGTGAGTTATTTAGGCAACATTTTTGGGGTGACACCGCCCTCGTTACCTGGCCTTGTTCAACAGATTTAGGAATCCAGTTAGGCGTAGGTGGTGGTGTTCTGGTGACACTGTTTTCAAATACTTTTACAAGTCTCTTGCTGGCAGTATGAGAAGAAGGATTGTAGCGTTTAGAAGGATCTCGCAAGATCAAGGAGAAAATGGAGAACGCTTCAGTTTAGTGTAATATTTTCTAGCCAGTATTACATAAAATCAAAACTTCGAAAACGTTGATTCTTCCGCTGCGTAATCTGCGCGCCAGCATTCTTTTACCGAAACTATTTACCGATGTTCATAGCTGTGCGGTGGACTCTCCCTCAGGAATCTCTCAATCACCAGTAAGTTAACTGATGATCCGGGAAACCTATGGGTTTTCTTTCAATCATTATGACTACTGGGTTCATGTCCCCTCGTATCGTTGCTCAGCACTTCAGCGAGTTGAATCATAAAAAAAGCTGCTGGCTTTGACACTGTCCCGTGAAACTTCTTGACGCATGTTTTTCACCAGATGATATTGTATGTGTACTATATTTACCGAGCCTCTCTAAGGAGGGTGTATTTTTCAACCAGTTGGGATGCCACGACGGTCATTCCGATCCCGAAGCCAAGTAAAGATAGACTCCTTCCTGGTAATTGCAGGCCTATCAATTACAGTCTTTTGTCTGCCTTATTCGTCCCTGCCCTGTCGTAATCCTCATGGATCATGTGAGTGCGTATTCTCTGATGTCTCCATTCTAGAGTTTCATCATTTTAGACTGGTCACTTTACAACAAACCAACAAATTGATGAGAAGTTTAATTCTAAAAATTGAATTCACATTCAATATAATATATGCGGCTTTCAACCGAAGTAGCTCCCCTCTGTATGCGATGCTGTTCCCAGAAGAAGGCCTTTGATTGGCCAAGCGCGGACTGGAGGGAGAATGCGCAACTGTAAGCATAAAAGCGCGGTGCCAGGAGCATCAAGCATCCACTTAGTGGTCGCTGTTTCACTGGTACTGATCGAGTTGCACAATGACTGGTCGTGGTAAGGGAGGAAAAGGATTGGGAAAAGGAGGAGCAAAGCGTCATAGAAAGGTTTTGCGTGATAACATCCAAGGTATCACCAAGCCAGCCATCCGTCGTCTTGCTCGTCGTGGTGGTGTGAAACGTATTTCTGGATTGATTTACGAAGAAACGCGTGGTGTACTGAAGGTGTTCTTGGAAAACGTTATCCGAGACGCCGTAACCTACACTGAACACGCCAAGAGGAAAACTGTGACGGCTATGGATGTAGTCTACGCCTTGAAACGTCAAGGAAGAACTCTTTACGGTTTTGGTGGTTAATTTCCCTTGCTGCGTCCTTCTACGAACAAACGGCCCTTTTCAGGGCCAACAACATTTTCAACGATGGAATTTTCTGTTTCAAAGAACCGTGTAAATCGATAAAGTAATCATGAAAGGCAAGACCCATCATATAAATCTATGTTTACATCAAGGTTTACACCAAGTTTTTTAGATGTCTTATCAATCCTTCATGGAGTTGTCTTTTTAGATATCAAATGCTTGTTCCTTTGTCTGAAGTTATACATAATGCATAGTGAAAACGGTTGAATGAGGTTATAAAGTTGAATATTGTAGTTATTTCAAAAGACTAATCAGGTTTTATAGAGAAATACGAATCCCGAATCATGTTAAAATCCATGCAATGTCAATTCCGAATTGTGTTCTTTATAATACATTGAAAAAGGTTTTTGCGTTATCTAGTTTAAAAACTATAGTAAGTTCTAGAACAACGTAATTTTAGGAACCTTTCTAATAATCTAATAATCTTATAATATAATTTACTATAGAATAGGTATATAATAAAATTTCATATATTAAATAATTTTATATATTTTATATACCAAATATTTATATATTTATAAATTAATGCCAATTTACAAATGTTTTTTATGAGATTCAAAGTACATGTAAAATATGTGCAAAGAATGTGGTTTTGATTGGTTGTTTTTGATAGATTCTATAAATTGTAAGTGTCACGTATACAAATAAACATATAAAGGCGTGTCGGTGAGCGATACGAGCAATACTTCCCGCGGTTCCATCCTTTGTCCCTATGCTTTTCCGAGAGACTTTTTTATGTCTTTATTTATATGTTCATCAGTTTGTGTCATTTAATACATATGTACTTTAATTTACGATCTCATTATACTACACAGAATTACTTAGGTAAGTATAAATATTTATAAATAAAGTATTCTTATAATTTTATACCCTACGCGTTCAACCAATCAGAATATTTGTTCTTAAATTTTAGGTTAGTTCAAAGATTCCCATTTATGTGTTATGTCCTGCTTATATTCCTATTATTCTTCATCGAGATTTTATATAAATTTATGACTATGTGTGTATAAATTATATGTATAAATTTGTAACTAACAATGCAAAATGGGAAAGCTACAGTCATTTGAATATCGATATCTCGATACAAGTCGATTTGAACGAGAAGAAATGTTATCGATTGTTGTTTTCTATCTTGGATATGTTCGTGTTTGAATCATTTTAAGTATGCAGTGTTGCTTGCTTGACAGTTAATAGGTGCTAATAAGTTCTAGCTATTATTACATTTATTCTGGTATATAATTTCTGTTTAATCCACATAGAACATCATACCTTAGAAGCGTAATTCCGTACACTTTTTGTGTAATGTAGATTATATTTAAATTATTTTACGAGGTTAAGAAACCATATAGTATTATTAATTTTGTATTGTTTTCTACAGCTTTTGCGTATAATAAGTAATTGTCTAAAATGTCAGATGACGAAGATTTGGTTTATGTTAAGAAGCAAAAGACTGTTCATTATGGATCCCTCGAAGAAGCTGAGCGTGCTAGATTGGTTGCTGTGGCTGAATCTGCCGAGGAAGAAAAGACTACCACAAATTTGGGAGATAATGCCAGTGCTACAGCTACTTTGGGAAACATTCATATATCAAATGAATATATGGAACTTGAAGATGAGATGTCTAAAGATAGACAAGCTCTCTTAGAAGAATTTGAACGTAGAAAGAAAGCTCGTCAAATCAACGTGTCTACTGATGATTCCGAAGTAAAGAAAAATTTGAGACAATTGGATGAGCCTATTTGTCTCTTTGGTGAAGGACCTGCAGATAGGAGAACAAGACTGAGGGAATTATTGGCTAATTTGGGTGAAGATGCAATTAAAAAGAAACACGAAGAGGAGGAGAAACCATCCCATCCAATTGAGAGAGACACAGAAACAACATGGTATCACGAAGGGCCAGACTCACTTCAAATAGCACGTTCTTGGATTGCTAGTGAGCCTAAAATATACTGTTTCTAGTCTTTTCGTCTTTTATTGTTTATCTGTGTGATATTTTTATTTATTCAATAGCGTATTCATTGCCCAGAGCAAAGGCGAGATTGGGTAAGGCAAGGCAGGATTTGGAGTTGCCAACAGCTACGCGTACAGCACGCCGTCAAGAGCTTCTGAAAAAGTTACAAGCTTTGACAATTTACTGTTCTCAAATTGGAGATACGAGGCCAATTTCTTTCTGTCAGTTCAGTCCAAATTCCAAATTGCTCGCTACAGCTTCATGGTCAGGCTTGTGTAAAATATGGTCTGTACCTGACTGTACTTTGTTAAGAACACTTAAGGGACACACTTGTAATGTTGGCTGCATTGTTTTTCATCCAAAAGCTACTATTACTGAAGAGGTGGTAGGAGAAAAATCTGGACAGACTTGTGTGTTAGCATCTTGCGCTTCGGATGGTATATTTATTGTACCAAAATTTTATGATATACATGGTAAATACTATTCTAATATTCACTGTGTATATAGGAACAGTAAAGTTGTGGAGTGGTGGATCTGGGGAGGAACCCTTAGCTGAAGTCGAAGGTCATGAACCGCACAGAGTTTCAAGGCTAGCATTTCATCCGTCTGGTAGATTTCTTGGGACATGTTGCTATGATGCATCTTGGAGACTTTGGGACTTGGAACAGCAAGCAGAAGTCTTACATCAAGAAGGTCATGCCAGAGCTGTGCATTGTATTAGGTAATATACCTAAAATTGTATATATTTTCAATGACAAAAAACAGCGTGTTCAAAACAATGTTGGTCTATAGTTTTCAGGGTGACGGTAGTGTAAGCGCCACAGGAGGTCATGACTCTTTCGGTCGAGTGTGGGACCTTCGCACAGGACGGTGCATTATGTTTATGGAAGGCCATTTGAAATCTATCTTTGGTATCGATTTCTCCCCGAATGGATTTCACATAGCAACAGCAAGCGAAGATAATACTTCTAAGATATGGGATTTACGAAAGAGATCCTGCGTGTATACGATACCTGCGCACACAAATTTGCTATCAGACGTGAAATACCAAAGGATAGAAGGACAATACCTAGTCACAGCATCGTACGACAATACTGCGAAAATATGGTCAAATAAAACCTGGCAACCACTTAAAACGTTACCAGGTCACGATGGTAAAGTTATGTCCGTCGATATTTCTTCCGATCATAAATTCATCGGAACTAGTTCGTACGATCGAACGTTCAAATTGTGGGCTCCAGAAAACATGTAAAAAGACTTGATGGAATAAAGAATAATTTAGAAACGAATTAAGGAAGACTACTTTATCGCCGCATACAGGAAGACTTCATTTTTGTACTATAAGAGAAGTAATAAACATATATTTTTATTATTTGTTCCTCAAGTAGTATCATATTATAATCACATTTAGAAAGTATTATTATAGTGGTCATCTAAATCAGTCTAAATCTAAAGTGTAATCTTACAAAATATTTACTGCTGACAACAGAATGCAAATTTATAGGTTCTTCAACTACTCGTAAAGTTATTCTTGTAATTATTTAAATTGGACTTTGTACTTAGTTTGATGTGCGATTGTAGTTTTACGTCATTGTCGATAAACATAATCATACGCAATTACTGAAAGATATTTCTCCTTATTTATGTCGAACGTTATATTCGAGAACGATTTTGTTTTACATGTTTTTATCGATTGAAATGTTTAAATTTCGGAAGTTGAAGAATTCTTAATTGGTGTCTTACGATTATTAATGGTTGAGGTAACTTAAAACGAATAAATGCAAGTTTACCAGTTGATGGTCGGTCGAGGAGTTTCGAATATAACCGGACGACTTCACTTTCACAAACACCGAAGTAACTGAGGACAAGAGGGTCTCTCTTGAGATATTACTTTATTTAATAAGTTTCACGATAACTTTCCAGAGTAATCAAGTGGATGTTTCTTTTCCGATAAGAATTGATTTTGTATTTCCTTTTTTGTACCTTTTAATTCTCTCATAACCAGAAGGAAGAGTTACGAGGTAATAAAATGTAAAATATAAGTACAAATTGATCGATGATATTAGTTATATATGATACATTGCTTTTATTTGTCTCCAGGTATTTAATATTCTTTGGTTCGTCGAGAAAAAGGACGAAAGCTATATTGTGACGGATAGTAATATATTTTGTTACGGCAACAACTTTTGCGAATGATACTTGCTCCAAGACGAAACTAGACATTCATCTAATAAAAGCAGTACTTTATAACAACTATTCTATGAAGATTGCCGTATTTTTATTTATTTTAATTATTTTGACAGCGTTGTAATTATGTTAAAATAACAATGATCTAACAATAATGATGCTTTTATCAAATAGGAAGATCTTCGTGGAAGACAGATGCCATTATGACTTGTGGAACTTTCTACGTTTCCACTTCGTTAAATTTTTAACTATCTGTGAACATTTAGCGACGAGTGATTGAAGAGAGGAGAAAAAGATGTTAGTTGGTCGCAATTTAAATTGTTTTGTGAATAAAAATATGCCGGTTTTCTGATCCTTCCCTGGCATTTCTCCTTGATGTATAATCCTCCGTGTCGCAGAAGCGAAGATTCCGACATCTTCAGTTTGTTCGGATTTAATTCATGCAGACTCGTTGATGGGTAAAGATTGATGCAACCAAACTTTGTCGCCACCCTCTGCAAAATCAGCAGCTGCGTGGCCATCACCATGTAACACCCACTTTGTGGTCAACAGCCCGTCCACTCCCACCGGGCCACGTGCATGAATTCGCGCGGTGGAAATACCGACCTTAAAATAGTAAGAAATTGATATTTTGTTGAAATTCCAAAGTTGAATTTTAAAGACTTTGAATTTTTTAAACGTTTGAATTATTAAATTTTTGTATATGTAAGCTTTTAAATTTTATAATTGTACAATTTTTCCACGCGTAAATTTTTTAATTCCTGAAGTTTCAATGTCAACGGCTCACCTCGGCACCCAAGCCGAATCTGTACCCATCGGAGAATCGGGTACTGGCATTGTGGAAAACGCAGGCACTGTCGACTTCCCTTGCGAAGTGAGTGGCACTATGGCTGTTCTCGGTAACGATGACATCTGTGTGCCCGCTGCCGTATTTGTGAATATGATTTATAGCATCGTCGATGTCCGTCACGACCTCGATCGCGCATTCGAGGGCTCCATACTCGGTCTTCATGCTTTTCGCAGCTGGTGGCCCGAACGTCAGTTGCTCCCTCAGTCTCGGCCCGGAATTCACTTTCACCTAAAATGTCAAGTGCTTAGGTAAATCCAATAAGAACAATTCCTATGTTCCAGTATCACACTAATCTCCTTACTCCTTCCTTCTGTAGCATGTTGCATACATCCGTGAAGAAACTACTTTTCATGTGACTTTCATGAATAAGCAACGTCTCCATAGCGTTACAAGCGGCAGGGTAATCACATTTCGAGTCTCTGATAATCTTCATAGCTTTCATCAGATCCGCATCCTTGTCCACGTACACGTGGCATATACCTTCCGCGTGACCTAACACGGGGATATGCTTCGATTGTTCCTGAATGCTACGAACGAGGTCAGAGCTGCCTCGAGGAATCACCAAGTCTATGTGCTTGCCCATCGACAGCAGATCACCAACGTCCTCTCTGGTTGAGATGAGGGATATCGCGTTTGCAGCGCCGACGGTACTCAGTGCCTCCTTTACCAGATCCATTAAATACCGATTGCTGTTGACTGCTTCCTTGCCTCCTTTCAGAAGAAGACCATTGGCGCTGGACATTGCCAATGCCGCCACCTGAGGTAGACTGTCGGGTCTCGATTCGAATATCACTAGCAATACACCGATGGGAACAGTGATTTGCTTCAGTTCGAGACCTTCAGCCAGTCTCGTCCTCCTGAGCACACGACCGACGTTCGTTAAGGAGTCGTTGGCAATTTGCCGCAAACCAGAGCTCAGAGACTTCAATTTGGCAGGCGTCAAGGAAAGTCGCGAGAGCAAAGCTTTCGCCAAGCCACTCTTCTCCGCTGCCTCGAGGTCCTTCGCGTTAGCACTTAGAATTTCCCTTTGACGGGATTCCAGGAGATCAGCCAACGTGTTGATACAGCTTGCTCGTTCCTCTGGTTGAAGGCCTTGCAGTATTCGGCTCCCGGCGCGAGCTGGAAATTGTTATTTTTGGCTTTGAGGAAGATTTTCTTCCATAAATTGGGGTTAATATTACGATCCCACGTTGAGAATCTTTTAGATGCAATTGCGTCTTAAGTGGATCTGATTTATAGACGAAGTTTGGCGTCATAATGTATTTGACGTAGTTTCTCCTTTTCAAATACCTCGATTCTCTGCACGTTTTGTCTTCCAAGATTTCTTTTTAAATGTCTTTTACATCCTCCGTAATTCCCTTTTTCTCTTAATTCAATATCGTAAGGGAAAAGAAAGAAAGTACATAACTACGTCCGTTGAATGGATAAAATTGATTATTCTCGAAAGAAATACAAGGGTCGAACACGTTGGCTATTCGCAATCGAACGGTCGAACCGCAAAGGATATATTAAATAAGTTTTAATGGAATCCTACGTTGGTAAAAATTACTCCAACTAGTAACGAGGATAGAAGAGACTTTGCTCGGAAAAGCTCTCGAGTTAAAGGAATATTTAACTACTTTTCTTTTCACTTACTTTTTCAATGGCCGGCTATGTTAACTAAAAGTTGTTCGGTTTGAATATACTTCCCCGAATAATGTGATATTTTTCTATATCTTAGGGGAGTGCGGTACGTGTCGCGGATAATTGTACAATGGCCACGATACCAGCAGCCGTAAGCCGTTTCATTTCTACATTCGATAATCGATGACCTATATTGCTATAGTCGGTAGAACAAAATGACGCTACTAACCGATCTCTCCACGAAAAAGCTATTGCGTACATAAACGCAACGCTCTTTCCCGAATTATTTTTCCTTGAAACAGACAAACACTTTTTCATGTTTGACGCTTCGCCGAATAAATATGTTAAAATTCCTTAAGCAAATTCGAAAGTAACATTTACGGGAGCTATCTAAGCTACCTAGACGATCCGTTCCTTTTATTTCATAAAGCACTCGAAAGGCATAAAAGTTCACTGGAAAGTAAAAAAGCTTTTACCTTCTTCGGCAACAACCTCTACAGGTGCGAAAGTTTCGGTCGTCTGTGTGAAGAATGTACCGATCTTTCTTCCGGATAGAATATTCTTTATAGCCTTCTCTTGAGTTCCGTTACAGATCACAACGGAGACACCTCGATCCAGAGCCCAAAGCGCTGCATTAACTTTCGCGTCCATGCCACCGGTACCGACCTTCGACTTTTGTCCAAACTTGATGGTGTCCCTAAGGTCCATGCTAAATGTATGCAGCATCTTAGCGCCATCGTGCCACGGAGGCAGATTGTAAATGCCATCGACGTCGCTCATTAAGATTAATAAGTCTGCCTGAATTTCAGCTGCCAGCATAGCGGCCAAGGAATCGTTGTCTTTGATGGAAATACCTCTTCTTCCTCCACTACCGGCTACTTCCTCGTCGACATGTGGCGGAGGTGAGACAGCGTCGTTGGTATTGATTATGGGAACGATGTTCAAGCTAAGTAATTCGCTCAGTGTGCTGAACAAATTCTTACGAGTTTCCTCGTTGTAGAAATCCGGCTTGGTGACTAATACCTGGGCCAGTTTCACTCCATATTGGGCGAACATGGCGTCGTACAACGACATCAGGCCTGATTGTCCCACTGCGGCTGCTGCTCTAGGTTCCAAAGGGGTGCCTGCGTGAACATTAGGTCGACATTACAATGTGTGGTTAGTAGATCGTGTTTGGTACAACAAACGGCACTGTTAGGTGAACGGTTTTCGCCAGTTGCCTCGTAGCTCTCTGGAGTCCGTCCAAAATCAGTTGACCGCTCATCCTCGTGTATCGACACATTACAAATTCACGAGTGCAGCAATTTTTCTGTTTTTAGGATTTGGTATGCGATACAATAAATTCTTTTTGGTGAATTGTTAATTGGTACGAAACGGTTAATTGATTTTGGGTGAACCGCGGTATTATTATGAATTTAGAAGCGGGATAAAATACGAGCGATATCTTGATAATTTACCATGCTTTTGCAATTCTTCTTTAACGTGTTTTTCTTGCCAAAACGAGTTAGAAATGCCAAAGAAGGTGGACAACTATTGGATACTCAAACGTTTCCGTAGAAGTAACAAGAAACAAGGCGGCGTTATTTTCCAAGCAATTTCTGTCTATCGCGTTCGATCGTTGCTTTCCTCAAAAGGAGGAATTACCGCGAATGTTTTCCCGAGCAAATAGAATCTCGAAGGTATTACCAGTAAAAGAATTGGGCGGCTCGCGGTTGTTAGTTTAACCTACATAGGAAGACCGGACATTGTCAAGTTGCCGAGGAGCCCCTGTATATCCGGAAGTACCTCGGGGATGTTCCGACGGGTCCCCATCGTCAATGGTCTACAATTCGTATTTGCTACGAAATTTACGATCCCCTGTATCGACCTCTTTCACACGACAGTCACGTGAATGCTGGCGAAAAAAGAAATATCTCTACTACACCGTTAATACAAGCAAATAACAAGCGGAATGTTTCCTCCTAATGTACATTGCAAACACGTCGTTCGTCCTCTAGAGGAAAGAAAGAAATAAGCTCGTTCTCAGGCAACGTAATTTATTTAGCATTTTATTCCTTTTGTTCGCAAAGTTCTTAACCGTGTTTGTATGATAACCGTGTAATTTGCTTTAAATGTCCCCTGTATTCTTTTTCAATTTCTGTTCTCTGTACGTGCGTGCGTTTGTACGATCCTTACCGGATTAATTGTCACAATTGCGCTCACGTGGAAAAGCATTCCGCAATTCTTACCAAGCAAGGAGATTGTACGTTCTCATTCGAAGCAGAGAATTTACATTCAGGCAATTTAATCGTCATAACTCGTCGGTATTATTCGGTCGATCGATTCACCGTGGACGACTAAAACGCGAGAGGGCATTATTATTCTCGCGTTTCGTGTGACTCACATCGGCGACTCGCGTAATTGGGATTAATTAATAAAGAACGAATTAAGTGCGGAGACGAGCTGGCGAGATATACGAGCGAAAAAATATGGTAACTTAACCAAATCCGAATACATTTTTGCCATACTCGAGACTCATTAGCGCGCCAGATATAAAGGATTACGAATGGAGGAAAGTACAATCGCGGCGAACGTATACCCTCGTTTGTAGTTGGCCGATAATATTCTGAGAAGAAAATTCACGTTGAAACGATCGGTCTCGGCATGAATTACGCCCGGATATCCGATTTGTGATATAATATTATCGTCGAACGGCATATATTGCCCTGTATTGTAACGAATCGTTCATGAAGTTTCTCCGTTTTGCGCGATTGTACGGTGAATTAGAATGGTCGATGTATTCCACGATCGAACAAAAGTTAGTATCGATTTACTTCGTCTGAGAAACATCCAACGAGTCCATTACGTAGGAAAGCGTACTAAATTTACTATTGGGAAAA